CTTCTTTCGTGCTCGGCAACCTCCCGCATGCATCCATAACTCAGTAGTGTACGCTGTACTGTTTACCCTTTGTTAATTAGCCAGTACACGATACTACGAAAAATCTTGCTATTACTGTTCATAAAAGCTCGGTTCGGTTTATTCAAATAAACGAAGACGAAAGCAAAACTCGGTGTATTTCAATTCTCATTTTCATCCGGGGCCCCGAATGTTTTCTTTGTGCGCGTCTGATCACTGAAATTTACACCACATGAATAGCGTGAATTGTTAGATTCCTGGATTTAGAAAACGAATCGAAGCAGGGCAAGAACAGAACGAAGTAGAACAAAAAAGGGAAACAAAACTGCGACAGCATGCAAGCTTTTTATATCATCACTCTTATTAACTTCATTAATTTTTCATTTTCATTGTAGGTGACGCTCTTGGGAAAAATGTTATGATCTCCCCGCGAGGGATTTGTAACTAAAATGAACATAAATCCCGATGCTTTCGGACGCTTGAAGCGACTTGCATCTTCTGCTCTGAAAAAAAAGAATACTCCAAGAAACAGTGGGTGTGATAAGGGCGCAGAGGCGAACAAAGAGGAAGGACTGGAAAAAAACCCGGAACAAAATAAAGGAGAGGAAGCCAATTCTGTTTCGGGAAGCTCGACAGGTGAAATATGACAGTGTGATTTGAATAACATGAATAAATTGGATAAAGGTATTAATATGATAAACTAAGTTATACATGCTTTTTGATTAATTCTTACTTGATATGATATATTATAACATAAATCACGTAAAGTGCGCGCTCTCATTGGTCAATTCAGTGTCTACTATTTACCCATGGGTGTACGCTGCTGACGTCAGCAAATGTTTCCAAGTAAGCAAATGCTTCGAAGGAAATTGTTTTTATGTTATAAAACAAATGGTAAACACTACAGCGTACAATATTGAGTTATGAATGCACTTGGCAGATTTGCTAAGCACTCAAGAAGCTAGAGTTGCTCTCGACCATCACCTCCAGCGACTCTTACGCTTCTTTCGTGCTCAGCAACCTCTCACGTGCACCCATAACTCAATAGTGTACGCTGTGGTATTTACCATTTGTTAATTGGAGGACAGACGCATAGCCTGAGAAACGGAAGGTATTGGTTTTAACCCTGAAAACATTGTTTTTCAAACTCGAGTTTGTTGCAGACCCTCAATTGGTGGAGGCGAGTGAACAGCGGGCGAACGACAAATAGCGGTTGTAGTTGTCAGGGAAACGGCTTCGTGACCATCGCAAATCTTCGCGCGCTTGCTTTTTTCCACTGACCGGTCCGGTGAGAGTCTAGACCAAAGCTTACCGCCCTGGCTTGTTTGTCTGTAATTTCAGAGTTTGATTCGCCTCCCTAGATAAACTCTGGCTATTAAGGGCGACTACTTAGGAAGTCTAGCTTAATCCAAGATGAAAACAAGGGTGCTGTAGCTAACAAGATAATTTGTTTTTTTCAAATGAGTTCATGATATTCATTGGCCACCATAAAGAGTTTGTGAGGCTGACATTTCGGGCGTTAGCCCTTCATCCTTCGCTCTAACGAAGGGCTAAAAATGCTCTTCACGGCTGCCAATCTACATGCTACTCAGTTGATAAAACCAAATAATCCCTTGCCCCCTTTATTCATGTGCTGCAGCTTAGTTTAAGAGCTCCCTGAACGAGTACACTTTTCTATTTCCGGGTTCACACAATGGCTGAATAAATAGATGACACGTTTCTATTGGTCAATCTGTAAAAAAAAATTAATTGCGACGCCGTGGAAAGATGTGCACGGTCAGGTCCCAAAATCTAACGATAGAACTCTTTCATAAAGGGCGGGCTTAAGTTAGCCTAGCTGGCCTTGAGAGCATGTTTCAAAACCATATGAATTACCCACAAAGTTAAGCTAAGCGGGCTTATTTTCATGTACACACAAAAAATAATAATCATGTCCGTCATTACAAAAGTGTTCTTAGGCCTATAACAAGGAAATCTGTTAGGTTTTCTGACTGGTCATTTGTAATATTTCCGCATAACTTCATACTATTCTAAAGCAAAGCATTAGTCCCAAAGGCAATACATCAATTTCCCTATTGTTTTATTTTATCAAACTATATGCATAATAAAGAAGAGTCATATGAAAATTATGCCGTGACCCTTCTCATGTAAGACCTGAACAAAACTCATCCTGCTGGATGGGTAGAGGTGAACTGTCAGGAGGGCTCCACTAAATGCTGCGGAAATGTTAAGGTGCGATAAAACACCACCCCCATCTTATCCAGTAGGGGTGGTTAAAGTAAAGCTGTGTTATGTCACGGAAGCTAACACAAGACAAGCTCCGGCAGTAATTGGTCTAAATGAATGTGAATATATGAAAATCATAAATGTGAACGGCGGGTTAAGAAATAAATATCAAAGCGATCTTCGCAGTAATGAAAATTACTTCAGCAGGAACGAAAGTGAGGCCTGAATAAAATTCCGGCCTATATGATATAAGTTTCACACTTAATTGGTCTGTGAGCTGTTAAGACTTGAGCATATCAAAACAAGACTCTACAGTTGGTTCTAGGTGTCCTGTGACCGACACTTGGCTGACAGGTTAGGACACGACGATCTCAGACTCCAGGGACCTCTAACATGCCTCAATCCAGTTTTCTTTTTAACTATTATTAGCATAATTGCTCCGGTGATTATAAAGTTGTGTGTGCTTTGATTAGTCGAGGATGCGTTATATCTCGCTATAATCACCTCGCACGAGGCAATAGTCCATTTTACAGTTGTGGGCTTGGTGGCCAAGCCTTTGAACAGGAGTGACGCTTAGGGTGACCCTGTTGTTATGGAAACCTGTATCTAGTTAGCATGATAACAAAGAAATTTGCATTTGAAAAGCAGCAACATCTCTATCATAACAAGGTCACCCTTAGCCTCAGTCCTGTTCAAAGGCTTGGCCACCAAGCCCACAACTGTAAAAAGGACTATTATAGCACGGGCTTTGAATTTCAAAATGGTTCCCTCGCGTTTGGCATTGTTACCGAGAAAGAGATAAACGCTATAGAAGAAAATTCAATTCAGAAGAGCACAAAAGGTGCTACTAAATTTGGCGTAACACTTTTCAAAAGTAAAATAGAAATTTTTTGCTGTTAAGTTCTAGCGGAAACCGACTGCTTATCTTGGTACAGAATGGTTTCAACAACAGAATGAATTTATAACAGAATTTGAAAGCGCCTAAGCAATTATACTAAAACAATTATTCGCCTCATTGAAAAATCCCCTCGACGTCGTCTTGCGGATTATTCAACAATATCCACTTCGCCTTCGATGGATAATTGCTAGCCTTCCAAAACTTACCTTATCACAAGCGAGTAAATGTTTTCAAAATCTTTAATGAATGCTTACTATCCTGTCTTTCTTCTTTTTCTAATGCAATACACTGCATATCGTAATGAGGGGTATAGGTTTATTAGTATTTCGTTCCGTCGCATTTCTTTACTGACTGTAGAAGTTTTTAAATCACTGTCAGGTACAAATGGCGGAATATCCTATGTGTCAATAAGTAAAGAAAAGATAGAATACGATGCGTCAGCACAAAGCGGCAAAGAATCCGGAAAAGACAATGAAATAAAGATGGATATGGATACATTCCGTCAGGTTTGAATAGAAGACTATTCCAGTTTAGTACAGACTTCTTGACTGAGATGGAGGGTAGAATGGGAAAATATTTGGCTTGAGGACATGACGAAGCGACATATCGTAACGAAGTTTGTGCTTCATGACTGAGAAACAAATAGTTTCCCTTCTCGCCCCACCTTTCTCAGCCAATAAGCATTTTATCATAAGGGCTTTGCTCTTCAAGGGCCTTTGCGCTTCTTTTAACCCGAATCTGGCGGGGTCGTACGCGATGGTGTGAGCAGAGCCATGCAGCTTTTTTGGCCTTACCCATGCCATCGCGTACGGCCCTCAAATGGGGATTTTCGTGTAATGTTTTCCCTACAAATCTCCGCGGTGCTGTAAGGACCTCTCAATAAAAGGCCTTATTTTATTCACAAGAAATTAAAGACCGGTGAACACGATGATTTTTCCAACTTGGCCAGACTTAGTTGTTTTTTTCTGCACATAGCTTAAAGAAACTCATCCGAGCACACCATGAGATGTGCTAAATTTTTAGAAGATAGCGTGGTGTTCAAAATAGATACCACTTGAACGGCACCATTTGAACAGGAACGTCCGCAAGGCAAGTGTAAAGCTCAAAAATCATGTTTCTTACGCCTTCACCGAAGTATTTCCGAATAGAATAAACACTGAACAAATGAACAAAGATCAAAAGCTGATGTTGATCGATATTGGCGAAGGTGCAACCCGTCCTAAAACATTTACTCAATGTGATAAAATTGACTCAATGTTAATAGTAATAGCCCAATTCCGAATTACCCATGGCCTCATTTTCAAAACGAGTCCTGGTGCTCATGCTTTCATATGATAATAAGTTTTCATTCACATGCAAATTAAACTCATTTTCACAAGAATAGTTGAGCACTAGGCCTCGTTTTGAAAAAGAGGCCAAGGGTAATTCGGAAATGGGCCATTCGATTTTGGTTGCTTTGTGACAGATGCTCAAAGAGGTGATTGTGAAGCGAACCCATGAAGTAGAAAAGAGAATTATGGGAGACGTAGAAGCCTTGAAAAAACATATATTGGCGTTGGAAGAGGAAAAGAAAACACTACAGTCGGACGCTAAACGACTGGAGCAAACAGTGAAACATATCTCTTCAAAACATGAAAGGGTATTCTTTAAGTTCAACAGTTCCTTCCACCCAATTAGATAGAATAATGCAATCTGATGCCTAAGGTTCGTTTGTTATAATTTCGTAAACCTTTTTTTAGCTCTTTTTGAGAACATAATTACGAAATTTGATATTCCAAACCAAACTGAAAAACTTGCGTCACCATCGATCGAAACTATGATTGATAGGGTTTATAGATAATGGAAACTTGTGTTCGATTTGTTGAATTGACTGAAAGACAAAGAGTACATTTTCACGAATAGCATCAGTGAAAACGAAAGCATTATTAATCCTATTGATTCATGAATATGCTCTTCTATCAACAGCAAAAGCCCCAGATGATATCTTGTGGAACACAAATTGACATTGGTTTGGTACATTGTTACTTTTTGATGTTTAATTCTTTTTTTTTCTTTCTTTCTTTTTCAACTGAGGCAATGCGGGTTGGTTTGCTCGCTTGTTTACTTGCTTGTTTTGCGAATAAATGAAAAACTTGGGCATTTCCAAGTTGGTGCGTATACACAAAAGCATAGAACGGCTAGAATATTGAAAAATATGATAATTCGATTTTATCTGCAAAAATTAACGATATTTAGTAATGTATTCCAAGCAGTTTACAACTCAGAAACGTGTACTTCAATCCAAGTCATCAGACTGATATTATGTTTTTCTTTTTTAATTCAACTTACCGAATTTTTCTGTTTCAGGTGCAAGGGAATAAGATCGTTGAACTTTTAAAAGATAATGTTATTCGTGAAATGAAAGTCTCATCAAATCTTTCTCAAAGCACGGGTAGTACCCAGCAAGCCACGAGAGTAGATGTGGAGCAAATTCTCAGGAACCACTTACATAGCAATCGAGGAAAGGTACAAAGCATTACAACAAGTGAATCAAGAAGAATATCTGATCTCAATGTTCGTAGTAACAACACTGCACAGGAAAGTGCAAAGCAGACTGTGCCAATTTTTTCAACTGATTCCAGAGTGTCATTGGGACAAACTGGACCAAATCTTACCATTGCTCCACCTCAAAGACAGCTAGTTAATTCAGAAACCGCACAGGTGTACACACGAGAAAGTGAATCAGCTCACAGAGCTTCGCCTGAAATTCCCATTGAACAAACACGCCCCATTCAAAGGCCAGCGTCTCATCCAACGGCAATGCCTGGACCGTCCCCCAATAACCACATAAATCATCAAGGGCAGTCACCTATTCTCATACAGTCAGTTCATGAGGTTTTAAAATCCCCTCCTACTAGTTTGAGTCCTGGTCAGGACAATTTTCCAGCGCGAGGGCGATGGAATCCTTCACAACCGGATAATCAAAACATTCGACACCGAATGCCACAGTCAAGTCTAGCCATGGACGTGCCAGTTCAAATGAAACGTGGTCCTCCAAATATTTCTTTTTTTGATCGACCAAACAAGCGGAGTAAAAGATGGAGCAATGATGGTTTACATGTTGTTTCGAGTAGTAACGACTATGTTATGCACAACTTTAAGTTAAAGCCTATTAACACGACTGCCCTCCCGAGAGTTGTTGCCAGGAGTGTAGCTCCCATGAATCAAAGACCTCTTCAACCAAAACCGATTGTGCCACTCTCTCAACCACAGCGAAGTAATCAAGCAGTGTACACTATTAGTCCATCCAGCCATAGTCATCCATCCATACCGAGACCATATTTAACTCAAGGTTCTTCCAGCCTCGAATCCATGCTCCATCCAAGTCTTCTTCAACCCAACAAGCCATCGGGACAGGTCATGAGTCAACAGTCATTAGGCGTTAAACCCCCTATTCACAATACACTTCATCCCATTCATCAGATAAGTAAGCCTCCCATTCACCCACAAAGACTTTCAGAAGGTCAGTTCGTGGAAAGGGTTGCTTATCCTACTAATCCACCACGACAACCTACCACTGAATATGGCCCAAGAATGCCGCTGGCCAACTCGCATCCTCCTCAACGCATAGAGCCAGCGCAAACGTACGGTCAGCCAACTGAAGCCAATGGTAAAGCGTTCGTTGTTCGAGACTACCAGGTATCACAACAGAGAGATCCAAATTACACAGCTCCTCTACCGCCAGGAGCTGCTGCGTTTCAAGCCGCCACTCAAGCGCCTCCCGGCGTGCCAAGGGGTCGACATCCGCCGATTCAATCCCCTGGTACTTCGTATTCCTCTTCGCCGTCTAACCGTCATCCAGGGAATCCTATCGTAGGAGGTGATCAACGTGGTACGGTGAATCAGTTAAATACTTTGGTTGCAACAAACGGCGATTCTAAGGTACAGTTGTTGTCACCACCAAAACCGCAAGCGTCAATTGTGGTTGTCCAGGACGACATTGTTCTTTCCTGGAACATGAGACTAGACGAAACTATGGCAGAAATTGATAACTATGAATTGTTTGCTTGTCAAGATGGTGCCGAAAGCACAAATCCACCAATTATGTGGAAAAAGATCGGTATTGTTAAAGCACTCCCGCTACCAATGGCTTGCACATTGTCACAATTCTCCTCTGGGAATAAGTATCATTTCGCCGTGCGCGCAGTTGACGACCAAGAGCGTGCAGGTCCCTTCAGTGACCCGTGCACGATTTCTTTGACTTAATGTTTCACCATTTTATTCTTTAATGAAATCATTGTCCTGAGTCACTGCTGTTCTTTAACTGAACCATTGTTTGACAAATACCTAGAACGTTGCCCCACTTGAGTACTTTGGTCGGAATTTTCTGAGAAGCCTTCGCGCACTTCGTTAGCCAATTCAACCATCAGCGTTTTACCTTGTCAAGCTACTGACGTGAGATCAACTAAGTTTATGCTTAGAATAAATTTCTTCACACATTTGGTTGACTTTGATTTGGCAAAAACGATGGCTTCCCATATTAGTTTGTGAAACATTTAAGCGGCAGAAAGAAAAGACACATATTGTAAGCAACCAAACACATCCAAATTTATTGATCCACGGACGAGTGTGAACTTAATTAATGCGGTAAAAGTTGAGTGCAAACAACTCCAGACACCCTTATTCTTGACCTTCACGTTTGTGTTATATTCCTATAATTTTTATATTTATCTCTTGTATTGATGTACATTGCTAAATTTGGTAAACGTTAAGTGCAAACAAATCCAGACACCCTAATTCTTGGCCTCTCTCATTTTTATCATACTATATTTTTATAATCTTATATTTATCTCCGGTATTGATATACATTGTTAAATTCGTAAAAGTTAAGTGCATAAAAATATAGACACCGTAATTCTTGACCTCTTCAATGTTATGTGATATTTTTATGATTTTCATATTTATCTCATATACTGATGTACATTGCTAAAGCTGAAATCATATTTATTTTTGTACATGAGACTTTCATTTTGACTAATAAATCATCATAAAAGCATCTCTATGAGGTGATTGGTTTTGTAGTTTTAAGGAGGCTGGATATAGTTTTTCACTTTTCTGATGCAAGATATTAAAACTAAATTTACGAAGCTTAGCTTTAACGAATCGCGATCACATTTTCCCCTGGAATAAAGATATTATTGAAGAATCAGTTTGTTATAAAAATATTGAAAAGTTCGTTGCCATGGCAACGTTGCTGGGTTGCAATGCTGGGTCCAAAATTAGACGACTTGAATTTTCTTAAAAACTGGACGGTGAATTTATTTTAAATTTTGCATGCGTCCTTTGACTGTCTTGGTCTACTTGACTGTTAAGTTAAAAAAAATTCTGTCAGAAAGTTTAAGGAAAAGAGGCCTTTTTTAGCATTCATCGTTAACTTTATTTCCCTCTAACAGAATTTTTTCGAATTTTTGTAAAACACGCACAGAGCCGTTCAAAGTTAACGTGCAAAAAATAAAAAATTCACCGAGCGGAAACGGAAATACGTCAGTCTAAAGTTTCTAAAATTTCGACTCGACAAGATGGGCAATTGCGCGTGCGCAACATTTGTGTCACGCCACGACACTTGCCACGGACGCCAAGGCACTTGCCATGGACGCCACGAGGTTTTGGACGTCTTATTCGCCGAACGTCCTTCGCGCTCTTCTAAAGAGCTTTATTTTGCTAAGAGAGGTTTATCTTCTGGGTGGATTGCGCCTGGAAATGGCTGCCTCTCTATTTGCCTTCAAAGTGCTGGATTATTTTGTGCAAAGTGTCAGGATGTTTTGTTCCTCGTGGAGCTGATCGACGCGATGTTGTTGGCGATTTGCTAAGAATGGCGACAAGTGCTTCCTTCCCACCGTTGTTGTAAAGATCTTTTAAATAAGTCATCGTAACACAGGCCGCTTTCTGCAATTTTCTCAATGATGTTTTCGTTGACGAGGAGCCCGTTATCGCCCTGTGGATAGGGCTTGTCTTTGAAAGTTTGCATGCGTTCGTGGCGTACGTCAAGAAATTCCATGTCTTCGAAAGCGAAGGAGGTGGATTTCACATTGCTGTTGTTTACAATGTCAGCGCTTGTTAGCTGCAACGGGGATTGAAAGAGGACACAGTGGAGGGCACGTACATCTTCCAGAGCATCGTGTGCGTTGAAATCTTCATAAAAAAAAACAGCTTGATACACAGAAGGGAGATTGCTTTTACAAGGTTTTCCGTCAAGATTAAGAAGAGCGTTACCACCTTTGGCGAGTGTTTTAATGAGTGGAAGGCTATCGGCGAAAAACACGTTCTTCGACAATAATGTTTCTTTATTTGAATTTCCAGCACATCGTAGGAGTGAAAGAGTGTCGAACACAGAAGAATTATGGCCAATTAAAACGGTGTGACAATGCGTACTGCTGGAAAGGAAAGTGGTAAAAGATTGAAGACATTCGCTCAGGAGTGTACTGGAACATTCTCTTTGAGCAAAGTTCTCTCACCATTCACAGTTTTGACAGTGACTTGTTGACTCGAGAAGCATAGCTATTGATATTGCATGTAGGTAGCACCTATTTGGTGTTCCGGAAACCAGCCACGATATGGGAAAATAGCTCCAACGATCGCAATCGTGTTTTCGGCCGGATTCACGCGTATTTTGGTCACTTGATAGTGTTGTAGCTTTTTGAAACACATTACTAATAAAGTTAGAAGAAAGTGTAGGCAGCCTACCTATAGGCGTAAAAAATAGTGTACTAGGCAGATGAAAAAATAATTTTGGCCTAAGCGCGGCGGCCATGTTTGTTTGTTTGTTTGTTTGTTTGTTTGTTTTTTTTGCAACTTTTTAAATGTCCCGGGTTAATTAGAACCCAATCTGCGCGCGCCAAAACTAAAGCAATCCCGCAATTCGTTCGACACTCCATTGGAATTGCTCAGTAGGTTACAGACAAGACTACTTAAAAACCAAGCGTTTGACTCCTTTATTTCACATCAGTAAACGCTCACCATTAGTAAAGTGGACTATTTCAAGAGTAAAATGGTTAATAGTAAACAAGTTTTGTACCTTCTTTCCTACAGACCAGATTAATCTGAAGTATTCCTCTTTTTTAAATTTCCATCGTTAATTATTTCCACGCTAAAGATCATAATTAACGTTTTCGTCGCAACATTTTTTTTTTAATCTATCTCTATCAAAATGTTCATGTCACACATTACCTTTGAACAACAAAGCAAACACTGCATTTAAACCTCGCTAATAATATTCTGGTTGTGCTAGTAGCATAGATTTTCGTTGAAAAACCCTTTTTGTCTTGAAATAGTTCACGGAATGGTTGTAATAAACAGGTATTTAGAAAAATAAACTGAAGCAATCTCTTTTTCACTTGTTTATAAAGTTTACTATCAATTAGGCGCATACTCAGAAACGTTTGCAGATGCGTTTGTAAACAGGTACATCACGTAAGAAATATGCGTTAGCTTATTTAAGTCCTTTTGGTCTCAAAAGATAAAACTGATCAGAGACAAATAAAAGAAATTACAGGAGCATGATAATCCCCTTTTATAGTTTCACCTTTGTTAGCAACAGCTTAAATGGTTTAGATCTGTGATTATGTCTGATTAATTACCATCTAATTGTTCCATAATGACTCGGGCATCAATTATAAGGGAAACGACTTGTCACATAATGGAGTGTTTACTGCTCAAGCGCAAAACAAATTTCTGAATGGGAGATTTTAAACTAAGGAAATATGGCGATTTCAAAAATTTCAGAAGCGATAGAAGAGGAAGCCGTAGATGATAGCCAACGCGTTTTGAATTCTTAGTAATTTATTGTGCGTTGGAAATCTCCACCTTTTTCCGCGCGGTTCAATGGTTTAGAAACCTAACCTGTAGTTTATTCGCGCTGAATAATGGTACCACCAGAACACCTATGAAATATTAAGCTCATAAACAGAGAGACTCCAAATCACTGCTCAATCTTCGTTACTGTAAATAACTCACAAACCAAGTGACTAAGAAAAGTGAAGGAAAAGGTAGGTGATGAGTATCTGTGGCTAGCACTGATTTTGAACTTAAGTTTAAGGGATATTTTCTCGAAGCCAGAACGTACTTATGTAATGATGTCTCATTAAGTAATTACTGTTTTTGGCACATTGTTGACCTATTCTATAATAATAAATTCACACACGTGTGGGATGAGTGATTATCCTTCTCTCGTGTGGACCACTATTCCCTGTATGAAGACACAAATACACGCAAGATTTTAAGCCAGAGAATCCGTTGGAGGTATGGCAATTGTGAACTTGCATTTAAGCGCTTGCTGGGGTTAAGCTCAATTCTATAAATGATATGGAAATTGCTTTACTACTGAGAAGCCTATATATACTTTTATTTATTTGTTTTGTCTGAATTTACCAGATTTTCTTCATTTTGAAAACACATGTTGAAAAATAATCGTGTTATGTCTTAATCGCATTTGCCAATGATGCAAAAAAAAAAGCAAAAAAAAAAGGCAAAAAATAAAACTTTGGAAAGGAAGTGTGCTCGACATCGTGGAGTGACTTTCACCCATCGATCGCATTTCACATGGATTAATACAAATTGCCCTTTAACTCCGCAGACACAAAATGAAGAATTGGAATTATCTATGTTTTCTTCTGGTATTAACACTTGCGTCTAGAGGTGAGACTTTTTCCAGTTCTTTTTTTTTGTCATGAACCTTAGGTTTGGTAAGCTGTTAAAGGCGTCTGGTACCAAAATCAACTATCGAGGTCGATCTTGCCAAAAATACTTCAGATAACATTATTATCGAAACAAAGAACTTCCGCCAAGCCTTCACAAACCACAATATATTGTATTCATTACGTCGTCGCATTAGAAACCTAGAGCATTTTTCGCCATTTGACTAGAGCATTTTCCCCATTTGACTGAAGTGTCAGTGACTTTCAGTTTAAAACAGGTGTCCTATTCGGAGTAGGCAAACAACATTATCATGGTGTCATAGGTTTTCTTTCTTTCTTCTCCCTTGTGAGTTCATGTCGTAGCTATCTATTTTCCGTACGCCCCTATTTCTTAAATAAAACTATGCCTTACATGAATCTTCTTGGATGAAGTCTCGGATCCTTCATTTCGGACGTTTACCTGGATGACTAGTTTTGATTACCAATGGTCATCGGTTGTTGCACGTCATGTGAAAGTTTTGATAAAAGATGTAGGTTGGCCCGCACGTAAAGACATTAGAATTCGAAACTTTTCATTTTGCAATTAGTCTTGTGAGTATCAAGGATACATAGTATTACACATAAAGTCTCAGAAGCACTTCATGCATTTTCAAACGAATATATTAGGAAGTTTTTTAATTCAAGCTTAGGTTAAAGTGCTTGAGGTCAGGTGATCATTCCCATTCTCATTGCATATTTGTAAAAAGTTCTTGTCAACTAACAAGATGAGTTTTCAGTGTGAAAAATAGTGGAGCCGGGTGAAATTTCCAGTCATGTTCAGCTGATGCCCTGTTCGGAACTGATTCAACAGAAAACTAAGTTTATGTCGTTAAATTTCCATCTCAAGCTAGACTGACAAGAACCATTTCTTAAAATCGACTCGAAATTGAGAGAATCATTGCAGTCTATATGCATAGCTGACTAGAGACGGTCAATTGTCTCCGAGTAAAAAAACCTGGATTCTCATAAATGAAAATTAAATTATAATAAATGTATTCCAAGCCTTCTTCTATTTACAGAGTAAATCATAAATTTATTGAGCTAAACCCTTTGGCTGACACATTGACAAAAAGTGAGAAAAGTAAGAATAAAAATTTTTTTTAGAGTAAGAGAAATTTTTTATTAATCTTTTAGAGTAATCCGAGACTGTATGTATAGTGATTTACTCCCACCCTATGATTGGTTTTAGGAGACTTGACGCGCGCCACTTTCTCAACAAATGAGAAAAAACTGATCGCAATTTTAACGTTCGGGTTTCATCGAACAAGTAATTTTAAATTCAACATTTTTAAAAAAAAATTACACAAACTTATAATCTCACTCAACAATAGACTCAAGTGTACAAGGTCTTCCTGTGTAAATTCCACTCAGTAATAGTTTCACTTGTTCATTTTTGGGTGTTAAATATTACACATAGATTACCATTTTATTTGGTCGATCATAAAGGAAGCTTAATCAGCACTGTGCTCTCAAAAATGATTTTATTTGTGAGTTAAAAATGGATATTTCAACATCGTCAAATGGCAAAAATGAATTATGAATTAATTTTTCGGTTAAAGCTCGTATCTTAACTTTTGTATTTTACCATATGTAAGAAACATGCCTACTGAACGCTTATAACAAAAAAAAAAACTAAGTAAGTCCGAACTAGCAGTTGTAACATTTAAACCAAGCTAAGATCTATAGTTGGTAACACTGTCCAGGAAAGGGGAGTATTATCGGCTAAATCACCATTCCAGATGTGATTCGTGCGCGCCCGGGAGAACCCCAATCTCCGGTACCGGATACCCCACTCTCACCGGCCTCACCAGAGACACCGGAGACCCCGGTCACAAAGGAAACACCGGAGACACCCCGGACACCGGAAACCCCCGTAACGCCTCTGACACCAGAGACGCCTAGTACCCCGGTATCACCTCGAACGCCGGACACTCCAAGAACACCTGAGACGCCGTTAACACCAGATACTCCTAAAACGCCAGAGTTTCCATTCGTTTTAGGATCAGATGGCTTTATTTATCGCACTGTACCATACCTTTTGGTATTCCCGCATGAGATGCCCCGCATGCCATCACCTGGTGATTTACCAGACGTTCCCCCGGTTCAGGATCAGTATGATGTTCCTAAGGCCCCCAAGCCTCCTAAACCCCCGGAACCTCCCAAGGCCCCGGTCAAAAAGAGAAATTATTTAATGAGAGGTAACTAGATGTAAGTGGAGAAGTGTCATAAACTGCAGGGAGTGAAGTTCATGTAATGTTTCCGACGTACCCAAAGTTTGGTTGAATCTTTCAGTACAGTTTCTGCGGGTCACACAACAGTTCTCTTCATCTATCGACGTGAAATCAGAAAAATGGAACATAACCAATCGAACAGGATTGTTTTCAAAAAAGCTGAAAATCATGACTTCTTTCTCACTTTCGAAACCACGTATTAACAAAATCTTGATTGGAGCAGTTTCCTATTGAGTTTCGAAAGTAATACGGGATTGCATTGGATTTACTTTCTGTTTACGTTCTGTAGTAAAGCACGCAGGAAGCGGCTAGATCATGAAAGAAGTGTAGGGAGAAACACGATACGTAGTCGAGTGTTTCTCCCAATTTCCTAAGTGCATTAGCTGCTTCATAAGTGGTTTACAACAGAACAGAGCACAGTCAAAGCTTCTCTATTTGTTTTATAATAAAAAATGCGTTAAATTCTCCATCAATTACTTTCAATGTTCAAAACAAAGTTAATTTCCAAAGCGAACAACGGTGTCAGCATGCTCTATACTCTCATAAAACAATATGTCAATATGAATCCTTGCTAGCATGGTTCAAGTATTCTGATTGGTCCAACAGGACCAGGATTTTCGTCTCTGCTCCCGTTATAATAACGTAAATCACAGCGCTTGGCATGTTTACAAACTATTGTTTGGTTCTTCTGTTGCTGAATTTTCAATTTCAATTAACGGAAAAAAGCTGGAGGGAAGTCTGGGAAATGGTCGGACATAGCACAAATATTGCCAGATGGCGTGATAGCTTTAGCTCAACTCCGTGTTTTGAACTGTGATAGAGCACGCTCTTTCAACCAATGACAGCGCACGTTATATCTCAACTTTGTTATAAGCCTGGATAGACATCGATAATTATCTTTACATACGTTAATTTTGTTCATCCTTTGAAACACTGACGACTTTCATCTTGGTCAAAACCAACAATAGTCTCATTTCAAGGTTAAAGATAATTGAATAGCATTTTAGTGAACACGGCGCAATGACGTAAGTGATCCTTTATCAGAGCAAGGCCACAGTGAAAAGGCCACTTAGATCACAATTTTATTGAAAAACTTTGCCTAAACACTTGGAACTATCTTCAGACATCCACTTTGTTTTCGATGATTTCTTCCCCTTGGCTCTCATCAACCCCAGAAAAAAATTCATTTGAGATTTTGATTTTTGACCTCGCCATGACCAGCCCGTCCGGTTGAAGCCTTTGTGTCAAGGGGTGGTTGTTTAAACGATGTCTACCTTAAGCCGCTGTCTTAATCTATCAGATGACCTGGAGTATTCTTAACAATTAGCTTGTTTGAAGTAAATAAACGTTTCCTCGGTGTTGGCTTCAAGTCTTATTCACACTCTTCACAAAAAAATCAATAGTTAAATATAATGCTTGGCTAGATTAAAGACGATTTCGTACACGATTTTGATAAAGACCGGTTAAACTTTGTTAAAACAACCGAACCATAATATCTTGAAGTAAATGGTTAACCATTCCAACGTTATCCTTCACTTTACCAAATATTCTTAAATCTTGACTGCCCGAAACTGCTTAACAAATCGACAGTGGTCCAGGGCGGGCTGTACTGTTATCGACAACGATATTCGTCATCACAATGGTCAAAATGTTGTGGACTCACTCGGCTGTGTCTCGTGAGTCCACTGTGGTGACAATAATTGCTGTCGATAAGAGATACAGACTACGGTTAACCACTGTCGACTTGTTTTTTACCCCGATATCTACGTAAAAACGATTCTCTCAGTGATATTTTCTCTTAAAATACTTTTAACTGGAGAAATAAATTCCATATTTTAAGAGAAATAAATTCCATATTTTCATATTTCCAGAAATAAATTCCATATTTTACAGTTAGCACAAGTTCCCTTCCACGATTGATTCTGATGCTATCAGTCCGAGGTCCAGTCCTACATGTATGGTTGGCTAGGAAACGCTACTGTGTTGTTAAATTACCGGCTAATACTTAGTGTAAATCGATAAAAAGATTGCAAAGTTCTTCTACCATCTTATTCCTGCAAATTATAGCAACAAATAACATTCTTTCTCTCTCCGTGTAGGTTTCGCCAAGCCGAGACATACAAGTGAGTAACAGGTTCTCTTTAACCATGAACTTCTACAAAGAATTTATATTTCCCTACGTTAAGGGAGGAATGAACACTTTAATGTTGGAAAATTGAATACAGTAAAAACCCGCATACAAGAACAACCATTTTCGGGGTTCTGGCTGATTGGGTTCTTATATATCGGGTATTTTAGGTGAAATCAGCCTGAAAGTGTTCTTAAGTGTTCTTAATTTTTTACTTCTAAAAAAAATGTGAGGGATTTACTAACTATGATGAAAGACGTAACTTATAATTGTAATTATAAGACTCTTAATTCCAAATACAGTTGTTGTACATTTGCTATACACAGCAAGTGAAATTACTAGCATTTATACACAGATCTTAGTGCAATACCACAGTAAACATGCTACAGACACTGTTTGTTCTATTAAACTGAGAAGGGAAGAGTTTTTATATATAAGAACAATTTTCAATTTTCAGGCTGAATGTGTTCTTATACATACGCTCCTTTTTTACCAAATGTCAGCCTGGGTGTTTTTAATCCACATGTTCTTGTTTGCGGGTTTTTACTGTATATAAAGAAGTAAAATTCAAGGCGTGGAGAATAAGTTCATGGTAACTTCTTGTGTTCTCTCGCAAACATTTATTATAAAAGGCATCAAAGTTTAAACATCGTTCAGCTAAGGCGTTTTCCTGGATCGAAAACAAATTGTAAGTCCTAGAACGTATCTTCTTAATCAAGGATCAACCACGAAGACAGCCATAAAATAATGTGAAAAGATTTCCTTTTAAATTTACATTCGTAGTGGGAAAGAGAGTATGTTTTATATCTAATTTTGGTAAATGATTCTGCGTCAACAATTAACTTTTTCTAGGTTTCTTTCGTTTGTAAAAAAGAGAGACAGAGAATAAGGGATGGCCGTCGTGAAAAATTGTTGCATGAGTTTCTTTCTTTTCCACTTCCACTGCATGGTCAAACCAATTTGGATAAAAAAAAAAACAGGATTTATTCATATTTGTTTTGTTTCCCATTACTTGGTCTCCGTGAAGAAAAAGGACATGTAACGCACAAAGAAAGCAAAAAACAGGGAGGTAAGTCCTCTCACTAAATAGGACACAACGCACTTTACTGGCCCAATAAAAGAAAGCGTCTTCTCGCCGTACATTTATCCTAACAAATCTGGAAGTTTGATCTCTGAAATTGGAAACTGGATAGTTTGAAAGACAGTGGTCTAAATAGATCAGATTGATTAAACTCGCACTTCAGACAATACCAGTGAACTCTTGATCATGGAATTGCAGAGAAATAACTTCCAGCCGCCTAGGATAAATAAGGATCAAGTTTTTTCGGATGTGCATGGGAGCTACGTTCATGCATGGAACACCACCAGGATATTGTGCAGCGTTATATCATTTCAAACACGACCCAATACCAAAAAATCTCTATCATATCAATCGCTGTATTGCATGCTGAAATAAAAAAATCTGCAAACGTATACATTATCTTGCCACTCTGTAAATATTTCATTTTCGTGGTAGGTGCAGATCGGTCTCTGCTTGAGCACGAACCATACGTTTACAATTAAAATATTTGTTATCTGTCAATAAGAAAGCAAATTTTCGTTCGTGGAATCAATTCGTAGATCGTGTTTGTTATGAGAGGCGTTGGCAATCCCTGGTGCATGATACTTTCAACTCAGTAATACCTCCTTCTTTTCTTGTGGTTGACCAATATAAACAGGGCACCATCGCCATGGGAATATCATACGAGGTATGTCAGGAACAGAGAACTCAAGAAAAAAATCTGACGATTTCCAACAAGGTTAAAAACTAGTTTTGCTTATTGCATGCCTCAGTAGAATTGCAGAGCAACAACCTTTCAGAGGTCAGTTAAATTAACATAATCATCAACATGGTGGCTTGACGCAAATATCAAACCCTGTCAATAAACTGAAAAAGTACCAATTTGCCCTTTAATTCCAAAAAAAGTCTTACGTAATAGCGGCAAATAAAATTGAATGAAAACACACAAAAGCGACTATCTTTTATATTTGTCAACAACAAGGAAAGATAAGAAAGGCTACTAGTCTAGTAAATTAAAAGGGCAAGCTTAATTAAGTTGTTCCCAGTCAATATTCCTAGTCAATGTGGCCTGTCTCAACAAGTGCTACAAATACCCACGGCTTGAGTCATTCTCATTGTGTATATTGGATATATTACAATTTAGTTATTGGTCAATCAACTGTGATTATTTCCTGATACCAGTCATATTCTTGCCTCTGGTTCGTTCGCTTTTGTGTCCTGATTGGGGACTCCCGGTTTTAATTGCATGATCGTCAAGTCCTTAAACTTTCTCTGAAGTAGTCATCCAATTACGAGAAGACGTTTTCATTTCATTTTTTTTTCTAAGAAATTATTTTCAAGCATTCACAAATTACATTTGAAAGCTAGGTAAAGATGATCGATATATTTTTTCAGCCTGTTTGGGCGTCATGAAAAATGTTTTTAACTTCATCTCGATTTTGCTTTAGTTCCAGGACTGATGGATGCTGGTGGAAACATGGGAGGAGGCGGTAAGCGATAATTCTTTCTCTTTCTCTTTATCTAAAAAAAATGGAGAACCAAAGGGTAATCTGCCTATTCTAAGGAGACAAGGAAAAAAGAGTTTGAGGCCCAAAGCTTTGAATGGAACCCATGACAATAAATGCACCGGTCAGACGTTCTGACATTAAACTACAAGAAACTTGGGCAAAGCTTGGTCGCAAGCTAGGTTCATATATCATATATATATTTCGACGGGGACGGGGGGAGGCGGAAGGCGGCAAGCTCACTAACATCATGTAGGGTCAAATAATCTGCTAAAGATAATCCCCAACCTAGTTACATACAAAAGAGCAGCCATCAATGCTTCTGTCTATTTCCTTCAGGATTGAACTCCATGGGCGGAGGTATGGGAGGCATGGGTGACCTCAGCATGGGATTTGGCGCTGGAGCCACGTCCATCGGCGAGGGTGGTGGGGCTACCATGGAAGGCTTGCCAACGATGATGGGTGGGCCCATGCAGATGCCAGGAGGTATGAATGGAGGCGGTGCAATGCCCATGGCTGGTGGAATGGAAGGAGGACCTGTGCAGATGCCCATGGGAGCAGCCGGAGGACCATCCGAAGGTGCTCTGATGTCTAAACAATTTATCGAAGGAGGAGAAGGAGGTAGGTTTGGAAATATTTGCCTACCTAATGAAGTTAAGGTTATCGTGCTTATAGGACTTGCCATTAGACTATACCAAAAATGTTGAAAAAAAATTAATTGTCGAATTCTTCACGATTTCCTAATACGAGCGCCCGAATCACCTTTTGAACGTTACATATCAAAGCGAATTTTGTTTTTCGCTGAATTAATGTGTTCGTCCTTTTCCGGGGCCAAAGTGCTGAAAAAAAAAAGTGTCTGCGATTTGCCATATTCAATTTCAGGGAAAAGTTACAGAACATTTTTCAAATAGGATTAAAAAACATGTGGAGTGATCGTACAAAAATCGCTCTTGAAAAAAAAGTATTTAGAAATAAAAAATAAAAATTCCTAGACAAGTTTTTGTTGTTTATATGTAAAACTAGATACTGTCGAGATTTGAGAGAAATCGAACAAATTCCCTTTGACTTGTAGCTCTTAAAAGGTGATTCGGGTGCTCGCATTAAGAAGTCGTGAAAAATTCGGCAATTCACTTTTTTTCAAAATTTTTGGTATAGTCTGATAGCCAGCCCTATAAGCTTTAATTTGATATAGGGGTTTAGATATCTACAGTTTAAACCGGACGCGCTAAATCGCTTGCACGCGAGACACCCCTGAAGGTGCACAGTAACCTTAAGTAACCAGTCTGATGTACAAAGAAAATGAGCTGCAAATAACAACTAGTTGTCCCCAAAACTTAACTTTAGGATTTGAATGATCCTGAGAAGAATGTCTAATCTTGATAACCAAATAGTTCCGACAGGAACACCTGTTTTGTTAAAAATTGGAAGACAAAATTATATGGACTTAATGCTTGGTTGATTAATTGATTCCATCGACTAGTGATTTCTCCTCTCTCCTCTTAAATCCGATGGAACTCTCCCACAGGCCACGTATATAGCACCGCTACCCTACTCAGTCTTGTCAATCATATTTTTCAGGAATGGGAGGTGGTATGCACTCCATGCCGAACATGGCAGGAATGGCCGGAATGGGAGGAATGGGAGGAATGGCGGGAATGGGAGGCATGGGAGGAATGACCTCAATGGGAGGAATGGCTGGTATGACCGGGGTGGGCGGCATGGGCGGTGGAATCACTGGAATGAGTATGGAAGGAGGTATGTGATTTGTCTACAGTACCACCTCAACGTATTTTCTTTAAATATACTCACATTTGTACTTTCCTTGTGAAAACAAGGTTACAGCCCAATGTTTCCTGCGTTTCATCCATTTTACGGCTGACAATTTCATTACGGCGGCCTTGACATGTACGGTGTGCTTTGCATTCTCTTTATTGTCATAGGAATGCCCTCGATGGAAAATGCTGGCGGAGCAGGAGCCATGTTTGCTGGACCTCAAGAAATGGGAGGCCAGATGGGAGGACCTATGGGTGGGGCTCTTCAAGGGGCCATTGGAGGGGGCATGCCAGGAGCAGCACAGAAACGTGCAAAGATGGGAAAAGTACATAAGTTACTGAGTAAAGCCGGAAACAGAAAGGGCACCAAAAAACATCACAGCAAGCACTGAGTACCAACAACGGATGATCTCTGAAGGAAATGTATGATTTTTTTAAATGGGTATCTCCACGAACATACCCTAAATTAGTTGAGATCCTGGAACACAGTTGGTCCTTGCAAGATTTGTGCTCCATAGTGTTATGATTTAACTCATTTTGAAGGATTACTATGAGAAGATCTTCAAGTACTTTTAAAGTTGTAAGTCTTACAATGGAGGTTCGAAACAGTTTTCACAGTCCACTTCGAACCATGCTCGGAGGCATATCATGTAGTGCTTTTGAGTGTGAATTAATTGAAAATAAATTTTATTTATCATTTGTTGTTATGAAGGGCACCCAGGTCACTTCGGAAATCATGTCTAGAGCTCCTGATGCTAAATTTCGGATAACCAGGTAAACGCTGCTATCAGGAATGTTTAAAATAGTACCCCATTGCAGCAGATTTCCTCTGCTCAAGCATAAGTTCCACTTCTTCAGCAGTCTTTTCGCTGGCCCCATCTAAAGTCTCCTCTGGTTGCGATGTTACGCCTTGAGGTCGAGCCCCAATTCATAGGAGAACGTTTTAATTCTACCTATAGACATTCATGTATTTAACGCCATGGGAGAGGGATCGAGGTAACTTGTAGTGAAGGCTGTGGAGAAAGCGTTTATCGAAATACAGTGCCGTAGAAAGCTAATGCCAAAACAAATTATACGCGTGGAGGGGCGAGAGGGTTGTGTTTGGTGGCAAAAAAGGTGAAGAACAGAAAGAGTATCAGTATGAAATGAGAAGAAGTTGTAAAACCTGACTAAAGGAAAGAGAGCATTAGACGAATGTGAAAAATAAAAAAAAGGGAACCGACGAGGTAGAAACGTGGTTAGAGACACGGGTATGCATATGGACAAGGCTGTCATAACAGACGGTGCACGATTCCGACAAAATATATTTTATTGGCAAAACTATTTAAAACAACGCTTTCCAGACATAATTTCAAAGCGAAAAAGAACAAAAAGATCAATTTTGTTCCGAGTTGAAACATTTTTAAGAAGTATTTCTTTCCACTAACCGTATGAAAATATAACTATGAAACAAAAACTTTTCTATCTGGGCTCAATTAGCACACATATTCTCATTTCTTTTTAAAAATAGTTTTCAACAGAACCTTAACTGTAGGCCAGCTCTACACAGTGACAATTACAATAGGTTCTACCATGAAAATTTTAGGACGAGCAATGAGCAAATGAATCAGGATTAATAAAATGCTCAGGGTAAAACGCATCGAATAACCACCCAAACAAAACACATCATGATTATGAAATAGCGGCTGGTGAGACGTAAGGCCCAGGTTGTCCGTTGTTGCCAATCGCCCGGACTACGAAATTCTGAAGTGAGGCCGTTTTGCTCAACAAACTACGTATTTTATATACCATAGGAAGTTTAGTTGGTTTCGTTTCTACAATTTTCACCCATCGACCAAACTGGTGGCCCTGTGTATTCAGAGTCACCATTATTGCACAAACTTCGAAATAATTTACATCCGCAATTTTGCTATCAGGAGGTAAGTCCCACATTAGCTCCACAGTGCCTCCATTCTCAAAACGCAGAGCAACTCGAGGAATCGGAAGTAAGTTTGTCTCTTCGGATTTTTTTATACTGTTAGGAGAAGCCCTTTTTTCATTTAGCCCATTTTTTGCTAAAGAATTTGATACTGCTTTGTTCTGCTCCAACGTCTCCTCTAAGGGGCGCGAGACTTGAGAAAGAAAGGCTGAGGCTTGTTTATGTGGACCTTTTGAATTCACCACAAACAGTCTACATTGCTCCGCGTCTGATTTAACATCCGTTCTTGATGATGTACTCATGCAATCGCTACGGCTTGTTTCTACTTTCAAGGGAGAAGTTGATAATGGTTCTCCGGTATCACAGTGCGTATCTACAGATTCTTTGAAGACATTTCCTTGCCTTGCACACGCGTTTTGATCTTCCCCGTAACCTTTAGCTTGGGGCATAGGGTTACATTCACCCCGTTTCGAATTGTCAAGATCCATCGAAGTGCCCCTTCCAAAAGGTTCTGATTCTTTCGCAATGTTCTTTGGTAACCCTAATCTCTCATTCTGAGTAGCGGAGGTCCTTACAGCTTCCTGGGTAATTGAGACTGAGGCGGATGGCTTGCTTTGTGGTGCGGTCACACATACTGAATCTGTCGAAGTATTTATTTCCTGATTTTTGGTACTGCACGTGCCCTGTGATTCTTCCACAGTGACGTTTGGTGTAACATCAAATTTCTCTTCTGATCCTTCGTTCCTTGAGACTGATGATGATAAACTGCTTGGTTCCGATGTCGCACTTTCTGAGTCCATCAGCGTATACATCTCGTGATCCTTAGTACTGCAAGTATCTTGTTGTTCTTCTTCAACTGTATCCTTGGAAGAAGTACTGTCGTGGTCATTGTCACCATCCTGCTTGCTAATGCCACCAAGTGTTCCATTTTCAAGTTCATGGCTGTCAGCCTCATCAGTAGGTTCTGTTCTGAACATTATTTCTTTTTCTTGCTCCCTTCTTAAAAAATCGTTTGCACCCTCTTCATACCCGGCTAGTTCGTGTAAGGCTCCAAAGTCACTATTTTGGTCACTGTTACCCTTGACATTTGAGGACCCAGCTACATTGGAGGTGCTTGATGCATCCCCGACATCCTCCATGCTGCGCTCAAGTGAGATGGAACGACGTCGCCTCGGCATGGTCAGTTTTGGAATAACTGGGGACATAAGATTTACGTACAGGTCTTGAAAACTATTGTCAGCCTCCAAACTGTTTGTAGCCTCTTTGCCATTACTGTCAAGTTCTTCACTCGCTACTACTTGTGGTTCAACCTTTTCTTTTTCCTCTTGGCCACTAACTTCCTTTGAAACACTATCTGTCAATTCACTGTTAGAGTCTGCTGACGCACATCGGTCATCAGAAGAGTTTTCCGAGTTAGTGATTCTACCTTGTAAACCTATGAGTCTTTGGACTGTTTCCTCTGAGGCGCCACCAGGTGTTTTCGATGGTACTTTGAACACATCCTTGGATGTCTTGTGCGTACCATCATCTTGGTCTGAAGTGCCTATTTGTGTGGAAGCCGATCCACATAAATTAATGGAGCTACTTAAATCCTCCTTTCCATACCCAACATCAACATCAGTTAAATGTAAATCAGCCTCTCCTGGATTGTTTTTCTGGTTATTGGGAGTTGTTTTCCAGGTTTTGTTGTCGCTACTGATGTTCTCCCCTTGAGCTTCCGTTTCTCCCGAATGTAAGTTTCAAACGACGCTCCCAGAGACCTTTTCATGACTAAAAAGCACAGTGCGTTCAACCGTTCCACCTATCAAGTTTCTATCAGAGTATGTAACATGTGTCGATGTTTGGCTGGATTCCAATCGGTTTGTAGCATCATGCGGAAGTGTGTTAGCTGTGGTAGTTTCATGAGGGACTGATCTTTGCTCTGACATGGAGACTACATGATTTGAACGCGAGACCATTAGTTGAGACTGCTGACTCACGCTAGGAAGCTGTGTTAGATAAGTGTTCGGTTCGTTTACAACATTGACTGGTTGTTTATCATTGCTGGATGTGCCTTGTGACTCACTGTACACACGCTGAACCTGAACTTCGCCATAGGGGTTCGAAGTTTGGATGTGAGATGGTGCTCGTTGAGCTAAGGTTCCATCGACTGACGTTCCCTGCGAAATGTTGAAGCTGTTTGATGCCGGTGACGATGATAAATTCGGTTTAATTTGTTCCTTGCCCTTAGCTGTCCACTTCGACATGACTGGTACCCTCTCTGTTGCAGGTGGGTTGTTCAGTCGAGTGCACGTCTGCCCCTCATACGCCTCAATTCTTCTATGCTGTGATGGCACTCCCTCCACATGCTGCGGAATGGCTGTCTGAACATTACTACCCTGTGAGAATCCATGAGGAGAGGACAATGGTTGCTCACAGCGCCTGGACAACTGCACACACTCTTTCGAAGCCTGACGCGTAATCAGAAGCCGCATTTCACTATTGTACCGTTGTGCGCTCGTTTGAACATAACAAGGAGAATGTCTAAATAGCTGCGATAAATGCATAGGAGCTGTCTGCCGCAGGGCAGAATGCTGTTGTGTCCCTATGTTCTGTGCGGGAGAACTGCTGGAGGATGCATTTCCATTATGCGTTTGGTTTATAGAAACAGAATTCCTGCGTGCTGTTACTTGGTGATTTGGCGTCATTATTTCAGTGTTTGGAAAGGTCGCGTTAGGACGAACGTTCCCCGCTTGGTTTGACCACTGTTGCTCTCCTGGGAACGTATCTCGAAACGTTGGCAATATTTGTTTAGTGTACGGTAACATCTGATTCAAAGAAGTAAAGCTCTGGTCTGGGAAATGACTTAACCTTACTTGCTGAGGAACAGGCCCTGGAACATTTGAACAGAGATTTGTTGCAATTTGTTGAGCATGTTTGTCATAAATACTTTTAGAAGTATATTGATGACTTTCGAACAACTGTGGTGGAGTTGAATTTGAGTCAACCGCATTCGGTACCCTTGAATGGTAACCTGCAGCATTGTAATTTGAAATCTGGTAACCTACAGTATTAGAACCCGAAGTCTGCGCAATATTCACGGGGTAACGAGTATCGAGACTGGTTGTGTAGAGCTGTTTGCTCATCAAGTCGCTTGACCTTTGTCCTTGTGTAAACGGTGGAGGATGAAAATCTACTTGTGGAACATTCATTCCAGTTCCTGGTTGACAAAGAATTGGTGAGTTATATGCCACTTGAAAGGGGTTTGGCGGCTTGGGATTGCTAACAAGAGGCTCAACAGGAGCTCTTCCCTGGATGCTAGGCATGACAATGCCTTGCACCCTCGTAGCAACAGCATTTTCCGTTGAGGATCGTGGTGGCAATCCAAGCATAACTTCAGGATCTGTTTGACAAAAACTGGACGTCATTTTCTTTGGGGGTGCTACTTCTTCTGGACTTGCCTGACATCCGATAGAATATGAGAGAAGGGTAACATCTGGAGAGGGACCCCTTATCCCAACTGGGGAGGTTGCCCTATCAACAGCTCTCCCGCGGCGGAGGCTCTGTTCAAAAGAAAACATTCAAGAGCTTATCAGGAAGAAGTCGCAAATGGAAGTAGAGAATGGATGGAAGAAGGACGAGTGAAAGCAGACAGGTGAAATGTCGTGGTAGGGAGCATACAGACTGGAAGCTACTTAAAAATCATGGGAAGAAAATAGATAAAACAGAGAATGGAGGAAAAAGAGGGAACCCTTGCTAGCACCTTTCTTTGTAGTTCTGAACAACGTCCCTAAATTCATCGCGCCTAATTATATTCCTTCACCACTTTTTTTCTAATAAATTGACCCGCAACATATTTAACGTAATTTCCCTGAAAAATTTTGCAATTGCGGTAAGATACTCGAATCAAATCAGAGAAAAGAGGGAGCAAAATAATTAACTAAGTGATAGACCTGTAACTCAAGTAGCAAGACAAACGAACTAATTGGACCGATAAATAGAGGGAGACCACGTCATGGCAGAAGAGGGGAAGTGAGGAAGTGAGGAAGTGAGGCAATATTTGCTCCATTTATTTTATGTTCCTCCTTAACGATAGAAATGTATTAGTTGTTCTAGGGTTCCTCTTCTAAAAAGGAAATCCTGAACGACTTCGATGGCAATCAGTTGCCATAAGTATACAATATTTCATGGAGAATGGGTTGCAGTTTAAATGGTTTAATATATAAGCTCTCGTGTAACTTACCAAGTCCATATTAATTTGAATCCCTCTCGAGACAGTTTCAGCTTTCGCCTGTGAAAATACATTGTGCATGAAATGATTCAACTCGGCCTACGAGTACAACAAATCCATTAGGAATTAGGCTTCTTTTATGAAGTTTCTTAAAAATTATTGCTAGTTTAGTTTACAGTGCGTTGCAGTAGCACTGTCTTCCTCTCACTGACAACAATCAGCCAGAGTGTATGTTTAAATAACGGTTCTGTTGAGTACCCAACAAGGTATGTACATGTAAATCTGAAACAATATTTTTGTTTCTGTTTTAAG